GAGGAAGGCAGATATTCATTTCTAAGAAACCTATAAATAAAAGAATATGCAATAACGTGACACAAATTCAATTGAAGATGAAGAACATTTTCTATTGAATTGCCCAAAATATAACACACACAGGGAAAATTTCATCCAAAAAATTATGACACTAATTTCATCAAACAATAGAAATATACAGTTCACATATATACTCTCAAACAAAGATCCTGACATAATTATAGAACTTGCCAATTATATTTACACAACAAAAAGATGTATTTAACATTTAAATACTAGTTAAGTCCTTTTGTATTGTTGTTTGTACAATTCTTACATATATCTTGTTATTATTTTAAAACTCTTTTTTGCTGTACTAATTATCCTATGTAAATCTTTTTACATGGAGGCAATAAAGTTATTATTATTATTATTATGATAAGCTCCGCTTGACAAAGTCGACAGCGGAGCTAAAAATTATGATTTAGTGCTTTTACACGAGAATTGGACATTGGGCAGTCATATTGAATCAAATTACAAAAATAATGTTCATGTTGATGTATCTATTGGTATACTGTCTTTGTACAAAATTTAAACAGAAATTTTCATTGCATTCATGGGAAAGTAGGCATGGGTATCATGAAAAACAAAATGGCTACCAGTCAGCCAGATGAGTTTGAATCACAGAAAAAATATGACATGCAACTATAACCCAATATGTATAATCATCATATCAACTGTGATCAAAATTGGCCTAGTCATCTCTGAGAAACAGCTCCGGACATGTAAAAAATGACTATTTAACGCTTTTACAGGAAATTTGGGCGTCGGCCAGCCATATTGAATCGAATCACAAAAATAATGTTGGTGCAGATGTATCTCTTGGTATACTATCTTTGTACAAAATTTAAACAGAAACGTTCATTGTATTCAAGATAAAGTAGCATGGGTACCATGAAAAACAAGATGGCCGCCAGTCGGCCATATTTGTTCGAATCACAAAAAAAAAAAATGACATGCATCTACAACATGTATGATCATCATACCAACTTTGATCCAAATCGGCCCAGTCATCTCTGAGAAACTGCTGCGGACACGTTTAGGTATCAGAAATAGCAAATTTTACATCCAAAATGGCCGCCAGTCCGAACGGGGACTAATTATAGCAACATGGTAATACACATACATTGATTGTAACCTGTAGGTAGAGCCAAGTGTACCACATATTAAACATAGCAATCTACAAACATAGACAACATCAAAAAACTTACGATCACATCTTGCACAACAATCATCTGGTCTTGTGAACTGTTCTTGTGGTGGACAATTCAATGTAGGACATGTCATTCTCAAACACTCCCAAGTTGAAGCATCCTTGAATAAGAAAGGTGAACACTATGTCAAACAAAGTGACTTAGTAGACATAGCTGGTGACTCAGTGGTGGTTTTATCTGATGGCTTACTGGTACTGTTATCTGGTAACTTAGTGATGGTGTTAACAGGTGATTTGTGGTTGTGTTATCTGGTGTTGAGTGTTGGTATTAGCAAGTGACAATAATTTTATTTTTTCTACTCACTTTGCATTCACAAACATAGCAGGGATCTTGGAAAGGTTTCATTTTTATCCCAATATTGTCTTCTGTACAGTTTGAACCAACAGGAACTGAAGTAAACATAAGTGTCAAACATTAAATAATTGTTACATAACCATCATGTCTATTACTTCAAATGAAAACTATGTAATATTCTTGTAGGGTTTTTCATGAGTGTTATGAGGTTCAGGATAATACAAGGCATTACTTTTTAGATTTTCTTTCTGTTGAACTGTAATTAAAACTTCATGTTAATAAGACAGTGCATATTTATTGTTTCTTCTTATAAGATCTTATAAAAGTTTTATAATATAGCAATTAACATTTATGGATGAGAAATTAAGAAAAAAATGGGAACTAAAACTTATAACAAATATAGAATATAAAGTTGGCAAATTTCTTATAAGTGATAGAACGAAGTACAACATTTGTAAGCTTGTCTGGATGTCTTTATTTGAAATATACTAATACTGAAAATAATTTTACATCTTTTCTTACAAGGATCAAACAAAAGAGAAATGAAAACTATGTTGAATAATTTGCTTAGAAATTACTAATTAAAAATGAAAAAGAGAATACAAAAAAGGTTGAAACAAATAATGAGGCATAACTCAAAGTACAATTACAGGCATAATAAGATAGTTACTCACAAAATGCAGCTAACTACTTTTGGCACTACTGAGATAAGACAATGATAAACTCATATCAATACAATATTAGACAAGCAGCCTGTCGGCTGAGATAGCTCCACTGTTAGCAATGCACATTTCAATTAAAGAACAGAAGATATCATTAGAAAATGAACAATATGTATAGTATCAAAGCAACAGGACTTGCTTTTTTCAACAAGAATTCAAAAATATCACTTTTCACCAAAAATGACAAAACTAATCACCAAAATTAAGTAATTGAAGATATCACCACAAAATTAACAAATCTGAAAGAGGTCCACATGTAGTACCTATATATGTAATATACAAGCAATCAGACTTGCGCTTTTCAACAAGATGTCGAAAATATCACTTTTTACCAAAAATTACAAAAATATTCACTAAAATTATAGGGAATTGAAGATATCAACACGAAATGAACAAATCTGAGAGAGGTCTACATGTAGTACCTATATATGTAATATCAAAGCAATTGGACTTGCTCTTTTTAACAAGAAGTCGAAAATATCACTTTTTACCAAAAATGACAAAAATATTCACCAAAATTAGAGAATTAAAGATATCATTACAAAATGAACAAATCTGAGAGAGGTCCACATGTAGTACCTATATATGTAATATCAAAGCAATTGAGACTTTGAAGTTGAAAATATCACTTTTTACCAAAAATGTCAAAAATATTCACGAAAATTAGGTACATACAATGTATACACCAAGTATCAAAGCATTCAGGCTTGTAGTTTTCAAGAAGAAGTCGAAAAAATAAAACATTGACACGGACGAGGGACGTCGACGGACAATCACTCATATGATAAGCTCCGCTCGACAAAGTCGACAGCGAAGCTAAAAAATCAGTTAAAGATATTTGGAGCTATATGAACATTGAGTTATGCCATATTTTTGAGATATAAAGCGATTTTTTTGCAATTTAAATTCAAAATAGCATATGATGTAATATTTCTCTTATAGGAACCAATGTCCTTTAAAATCACTACAAATTCTCACCCATGAAGATTAGTATTTGCCTTAAAATGATTATTTTAGGATCAATTTCAAATAAATTGTTCAAAAATAATTTGGAAATAGTCTTTAAAGTTACAGCCATTAATATTTATAAGAAACCAATTCGTGAAAGAAATTTTAATCATATATTGAGTCTGCAACTAATAACAACAATTTGAGTTTATTTCCAGTCCTGATTAATATTCACTTTTTATAGAATTGAAAAGTGACTTACTTAATTTACACTGAGCACAACATTCCCCATCAGCTGCAGGCTGCATCTCTGGACAGTTAGAGAAACTTGGACATGTTTGTCGAAAACATTTCAAATTACTATTCTGAAAGAGTTAAAAAAAAAAACAAGTCTATGTCACTGAAATAGTTGAGGATACAAAATTTGTCTGTGTCAGTGAAAGTCAGTGAAATGATAAGATGCATAAAACTAACACCAAAATAATTATCAGCTGTTTTTTTGAATGGAATTACAAAACAAAATAGCATGTGCACTAGCTAGTCTATTCAGTAAGTTTAATTTTGTCAAAACCCCAAACAATAATGGCATAAACTTACCTCACAATTGCATGACTCACATGGATCACCGCTTGGTGAAAATGTTTCTCCATCACTATACACAATACCATTATGTATACATCCTAAATAGAAAATCATTGTCAAAGTAAATTAGACAGCTTCGATGAATGACATGACTCAAGATAATGGAGGTAAAATGATTCAATGAGATGGAAATAACATGACTCAAGATAATGGAGGTGAAATGATTCAATGAGATGGAAATGACATGACTCAAGATAATTGAGGTGAAATGATTCAATGAGATGGAAATGACATGACTCAAGATAATGGAGGTGAAATGATTCAATGAGATGGAAATGACAAGACTCAAGATAATGGAGGTGAAATGATTCAATGAGATGGAAATGACATGACTCAAGATAATGGAGGTGAAATGATTCAATGAGATGGAAATGACAAGACTCAAGATATTGGAGGTGAAATGATTCAATGAGATGGAAATGACAAGACTCAAGATAATGGAGGTGAAATGATTCAATGAGATGGAAATAACATGACTCAAGATAATGGAGGTGAAATGATTCAATGAGATGGAAATGGCATGACTCAAGATAATGGAGGTGAAATGATTCAATGAGATGGAAATGACAAGACTCAAGATAATGGAGGTGAAATGATTCAATGAGATGGAAATGACATGACTCAAGATAATGGAGGTGAAATGATTCAATGAGATGGAAATGATATGATTCAAGATAATTGAGGTGAAATGATTCAATGAGATGGAAATGATACGATTCAAGATAATTGAGGTGAAATGATTCAATGAGATGGAAATGATATGATTCAAGATAATGGAGGTGAAATGATTCAATGAGATATAGATGAACAAAATCATTTTGAAAGAAGGTTTGAAAGAAATAGCGAATAATTTTAGGTGCGGTAGGAGATGAAATGACTAGCTAATCATTAACATAGTACTTACCCTGGCATTGTGGACAACATTGACCAGGAATATTCATGATTTGTGCACAGCTATCTGGTACAACACACATAATCTCAACACACATTGTAATACCACCCTGACAATAAGAAATAATTGAAATGGGATTAAAACATTCCGTATGACAGTTTTAATCTTTATCCATAATATTGACATACCTTTATAACTATGGTATGAATATGGCTATGTGACATTGAATAATATTAAATGCTATGGTACAGTACGGTATGGTATGACACAGTATGGTACTGCCATGGTGTGGTATAATGGAAAAGACAGTAAAATATCTCGGCAATAAGCACTCTATGTTCACACAGTTAAGTATAAGCATGTTAT